AACGTCAGCTTTCCTGCGCCTCTGATGCTGCCTGGCCTGCTGTGTTCCTCCAGCTCCACACCTTGTCGTCTCAGACTCCAGCATCAGCAGTTCCTACTATCACTGAACCGGTTTAGCTGCCTTCTCTCTCTTCGCCTGGGGGCAACCATTCTTTTAGACAAAGAATGTTCAGAAATCAGCACTCTGTCAGCCATGGGCTGTTTTCAAAAAAGATTGAGCCCAAACTTTCACAGGAATGGAACACGAATCATTTAAATATTGATTAAGGGAGGTAAAGTGAGTTTTACCAACCAGGCAAAGGGGAGGGTGAAAATCTATTTACCTCAATTTAATTCATGCAAATTCATTGAACAGTTCACTAATTTTTGAATAACCCTGCAGGAGTTTTATACATCTCTGACCAGCACGAGCATGTTAAAATGTAAGAGCTGTTGACAATTGTAAACCGGTAACCCACAGACTTTCACCATTTGGTCCAACAAGAATGTACCTACTATTCCAAAGTGTATTCCACTTATTCCAACTCCAACTCCCCTGCTCTTTCTGCAATCCCTGGTGTATTTTTCTCCTTCAACTATTCATCCCATTCCCAGATGAAAATTAATACCAGATCCAAATTCACCACCCTCTCAGAGCAGTGCACTCCAAATCCTAAATACTCGTTGCATTTAAAAATAAGTACTTCCTTACGTCACAAATGCAAACTTACTACAGATGCTGGAGAGCTGAAATAAAAGCAGGAAATATTACATAGTCAGCAGGTCATCAACCTGAAACATTAACACAGTTTCTCTCTCTACAGATTCTACTTGTCTTGTGTATTTCAGCAATTTCCGCTTTTATTTCCCCTCATCTCTGGGTCTGATGTCAATTGCTTTAAGTCTGTGCCCTCATCATTGAACCCTTCATCCACTAACAATAACTTTATTGAATTTCTACTGTGCGGAAGCAGGCCATTTGGCCCTTCAAATCCACACCAACCCTCCGAAGAGCATCCCGCACAGACGCTTACCCAATCACCCTACATTTCCCACAGCTGATCCACCTAGCCCGCACATCTTTGGACTGTGGGAGGAAACCCACATAGACACCGGGAGAACATCCAAAATCCACACAGAATGTCACTCAAGGCTGGAATCGAATCCAGGCTCCCGGTACTGAGAGGCAGCAGTGCTAACCACTGTGCCATTCCAAACTTGCCTGTTCCACAGCCCCCTACCAGAAAGCAGCAACAATTACTGGGACACAGTGCTCGGATAAAATGCAACTTGCGTTACTTCAGGATAACTTGAGATGGGAGGTAGCAGATTCAGAATTTAGAAACCGAATCAGATTTGGAAAAGAACACAAGATTGTCAGGAGTGCGATGGGGCAAGGTCTGGTGCAAGAGTGAAGAGTGTTGCTGAAAAACCACAACAGCAGGCACGGTCAATTATTATGAGAAAATCATGAACAGGTGAGCTCAGTTAAATGGTATTTGACTTTCTTTCCTAGGTACAGCAAGCTCATGGAAGTCACAGAAGGTTTACGGCACAGTATGAGACCAGTCTGCCCAAAGATTAAGCCATCCAACTTTCCAGCCTTTCGACCACATCCCTGGAAGTTACTGGGGCTTATCCTGACATCTTTGTAAAGAGTTGAGGGTTACCGCCTTGACTGCCCTTTCAGGCAGCAAGTTCAAGACCCTGAACATTTACCCCCCACCCCTCATCTCTTCTCTAATTGTTCTACCAATCACTTTAAACCTATGCCACTAGTCACTGACTGCTCCACTAAAGTAATCAGGCTCTTCTCATCCCATCTATCCTCTGTACATCTCAATCAAATCTTCCCTCGGCCTCCTCTGTTCCAAGGAGAATGATCCGCAGCCTAACCAATCTTTCCTCATAGCTGCCTTTTTCCAGTCCTGGCAACACCCTGGAATATCTATTTTGTGCCCACTCTACTGCAAGTACACCCACACACTAATGCAGTGATGTACCAGTGGCATAACCTAGTGTACCTTCTGGAAGGCTTCTGCTTAACTGAACATTAAACATGTTATTCAAACGACAGAGACACCTCACTCACACATCTCGACCACATCTCTGACACAATGAAGATGTGACCTCCATTCCTTTACCTTTGAAGTGATCTGAGCAAAAAACAAAAGAAAAACTCCAGTTCACAGTCAGATTCTCTTACCCTATTTCATTTGATTCGGTTTCTAAAATGATGCTGTTCGTCTTGTTGTCTATGACTATGCTGGTGATGTCGCCACCGTAGAAGCTAGACCGGGGAGTGCTGACACAGCTTGAGAAGGCAGAGTTCATTGCGGAGGACTGGTTAGACCCTGGGATGTTCATTGGTGACGGTGCCTGCGATCTTTGTCTGACAGCTTGATTCACTGTGCGTACAGTTTCAAACACCCGTTTCTGCTGATGTCTGCAGGAACAATAAAGCTATTAACAGGCTGATCACTGCTGTACTTGGCGCACACACACAGAAAGTGCCGAGGCTGCAACATGGTGCACATTTACTACACAACTCCTCATAGCAGACGGTTAACCTGCAAATAAATTTGGAATTAAACAGGACCGTACAGTTCCACATTTTGGCAGCTTCTGGACGGGAAGGCAAGATTTGGATCAAGGTAAATGTAGCAAACCAAATATTCACCGTTTTTTCTCGTTCCATGACAATGAAATGCACCGCACCATGATTCAAATGCACTTCTATTGCAGATTATGTTTTTGCTGAACGTGTTGATTTGTGGATGTTGTTTTATGGGGGAGGCGATGGTGTAGTGGTATTATTGCTGGACTGGTAGTCTAGAGACCCTGGTAATGTTCTGGGGATCTGGGTTCAAATCCTGCCGTGATAGATAGTGGAATTTGAATTCAATAAAAATCTGGAATTAAGAAACCTAATGATGATCATGAATCCATTGTTGATTGCTAGAAAAACCCATCTGGTTCACCAATGTCCTTTATGGAAGGAAACTGCCATCCTTACCTGGTCTGGCCTATATGTGACTCCAGACCCACAGCATTGTGGTTGACTCTTAACTGCCCTCTGGGGAAACTAGGGATTGGGAATAAATACTGGCCTGACCCTCATACCATGAATGAATAACAAGAAAGGTTTCAATATTTATATAATTTCATCACTTGAAGCTGGTTTTGAGGGTAATTGTGGGCAATGTTGAAGAAGTCACCAATATCATAAGAGTCAAGGGTCAGCAAGGAAAAACTTACACTTCCAGTGAAGTAGTTTGTGAAGTGTAATTACTGCTGTAATGTTGGAAATGCAGCTTTGCACATAAAAGCTCCCATAAACAGCAATGCATTAATGACCGGATCATAACACTTCATTCAACATGTTTTGTTTTGAAAGAAGGATGAATATTGGTCAGGACACTGGGAAAGCTCCCCTGTCCTCCTTTAAAATAGAGCCATGGGATAATTTAAATCCACTTGAGGGGTCAGATGAGGCCTGGGTTTAACACCTCGCCGAAAGATCAGCAAGATTTATTTTTTAAAAAGAAATGAACACTTTCAATTTAAATTGCGGTGTGTTAGTATCTAATTCTTTTAATACGATGCTAAACATCTCAGAGTTAAAGGTAACAAGGCAAATAGATCTGGGGATTGAGTTAATTATATTAAAATGTGGAGTACAGAGGTTTGTCTTCCTTTTACTTTAGTTCAATTTGTTTGTTGTTTATGCCAAAACAGTATGAAAATATGGAGGGTTCTTGTGTCTCAATGTCAGATTCAAGATCCAGCTGCCTCTAATGTGTGTTATAATGCATCTGAATATTAGTGAATCACATGGACGTCTGCAAAAATTAACAGCGATTACTTGGTCACTGTTACGCCAAGTTTTAATTCCAGATTTTGTTTTTTTAAACTCAATTCAAATTTCACCATCTGCAATAATAGAATTTGAACTCACGTCCCCACAACATCAGCTTGGGGCTCTGGATTGTTCTAATGACCAGTGACATTACCACTAGACCGTTGCTGCTGCTGATTAAGACTTGTAAGATCCTGATGGGACTTTTGATAGGGTAGACTCTAAGATAATGCTTCCTCTTTTGGTAGAATGAAGTAGAATGAAGGGGCACAATTTAAGAATAAGGGGTCTCCCTTTTACAACAGAAATGGGAAGCACGGTTTTCTCTCAGAGGGTCGTGCATCTTTAGAAGTCAGCATCCACCGTGCTCTGGTGAACTGAATAACTTTTAGGGTACATGGATTCTTATCTAACAAAGGAATCAAAAGTTGATCAGGTTAGGCGAGGATGTAGAGTTGAGGTCACAAGCAGATCAGGCATGATTTTCTTGAATGGCGAAGCAGACTCAAGGGGCTGAATGGCCTCCTCCTGATTCATACGCTCAATGACGTAGGCGAGGGCTATATTCATTAAACAGAACCCTTGGTAGGAACTGCAATAAGGAGCAGCAACAAATAGCAGGAACATAGGTACAGGAGTAGGCCATTCAGCCCCTCAAACCTGTTCCATCATTCAATGAGATCATGGCTGATCTGCAGCCTAACTCTTTACATCTGCCTTGGGCCCATATCTCTTAATATTTTTGCTTTAATAAAAAATCTCTCAGATGTAAAATTAACAACTGATCCTGTATCCACTGCCATTTGTGGAAGAATTCCAAACATCTAAATTTTTGTGCATATAAGTGCTTCCTAACATCTCTCCCGAATGATCTGGCCCTAATTTTAGACAATGGCCCCTAGTTTTAGAATCCCCAACCAGTGGAAATAGCTTATCTACCCTGTCTTTTCCTACTAGTGTCGTTAAGGCTTTACTCAGATGAGATACAACATGAGATTCAAAATGCCAGATTGTTTAAGTTATTTTTTTAAGATGTATATTCACACATTGATAGTAGAAAGATTCACAGCAAAACAGAGTTGACTTCTGCGCCACAAATGTTTTTGCATGTATTGAAATGTGACTTCACGCCTCGCGTGAATAGAAATACAGCTAAACTACTTTAAATACTTTTCTCAAGAACATGGCTGGGCTTCAGCTGTATTCAAAGCTAAACAAATTTTAATTACTTATTGGTTTACACACAACAGTTGTGTTAAGAAAAACACAATGGAATGTGGAAACTGAGAGTCATATTCATACCAGGCCAGGCTAGATATGAAAATGCAGTGACTTAACAGGGCAACAAATTCAATTTCACTGAAACGTCAACTAACAATGCCTTTCCCAAATAATGCCCCTTGCTTTCCCTTTGTATTGCATTATGTATACAACCATTAGTAATCAAATTTAGCAACTTTGGTCAGTAAACTCATGTACACTCCATTATGCTTGCACTTGTAAATGAAATTACATATCCTCCCAGACACAGCAATCAACATATTTCTTCTCTCCATTATCTGCAAAATAAAGGATTTTGGCTTACTGCCAGGCAAACATGGGCAGGTCTTTCACCTATAAGGGGCTTCACATTTAAGTAACATGACTATAAAAAGTGTGCCCACAAAAGCAAATCACAGAACTCTGCAGTGAGTAACTCAGACTTCCCAAAGCCTTTCCACCAGCTATAAAGCACAAGTGTGATGGAATACCCATCTCGGGGCCTAGATGAGTGCAGCTCCAACAACACTCAAGGAGCTCAACACTATTGGATTTGCACAACATCCACAAATGCTTATTCCCTCCAATACTGATGCACAGTGGCAATGGTACATATCTACATGATGCACTGCAGCAACAGTAGCTTCAACAAGGACTTCCCGACCAGTCACCTCTACCAGCTAGGTCCAAAAATTGAAAGTTCCTTTCTATCAGCCTACTTGCCATGAATTGCAGAGGTTTAAGATGTCAGCTCACTACTACCTTCTCAAAGGCGATAATGAATGGGCAATAAGTGCAGGGCTAGGCAATGCAAGTGGCAACTTTTCATGGGAGACTTTATACAAAAATTGTCATCCAGTTAGGAAACAGCAGAGGGAGGTTTCTTGGTTAAGGAAGATAATAGGGGCAGGCAAACAATGGCAGCCCAAGCTGCCTTGTCTTCACGGAAAGTGCATACCTATGAACATGTCAGCGGAGGACTCTGTTTGCCCATTTCTGAGTGATGCACACTACGGGTGTTCATTTTATTTTAATGAAGACAACAAAACCACAATATTGAGTCAAAGAACAGGAAAGTACCCGAATTAACACAGATAACAGAAAGGTTATTAAAGAACAGGTTTTGCTCTAACATTTTAATGGCAGTATTTCCTGCATTAGCTCGAATAAATTGAGGATGATTTTGCAAAGAATATGTTCAAATTAAATAACTACAAAATAGTTAAGCTCACAACATTTAAGTATATTCTATCTATACCCATTAACAATACTGAAGCTGATTTAACAATTTTCAGCTTCTGCACAATTGTAAATAATGTGAAAGGGCAACAATTACAAAATGAAGTGGCTTATGGCAAGGGCTGACCAGGTAGAACTTGACAAACAAAAGTTAAAGATTGCTTTTTCAGGAAGTACCTTTGTTCCAGGGCAGGCGAGGTGTCCATCTGCAGTTCTTTACGCATCGACCCTTCAATTTCAGCAGCTAAAGAATCCTGTGAAATAAAATGAAACGTGAACCATGCAGAAATGAGCACTGGATTAAGTTACTGGGCATCTAGTAGTCCGTTCTTCCAGATTTCCCGAGTTCAGGTTGGACAAACAAATGCTTAAAAAAACCTTCCCACTCCAGTGCGAAAACTGATATATTGCACAATTTATGCTAAGGGAACAACACCTCCTTTGCTGCTTGGGCACTTTACATCCTCTAGGTCTGAATATCGAGTTCCATAACTTCAGAAACTGACATTGTGTCAACTCTTCCACCTCACCCCACCCTCAGTTAGATTGTATCTTGTTTAAAAAGAAAGAACTGCAGATGCTAGAAAATCAGAAATTGCTGGAAAAACTACAATTAGTTTGTATCGTGTTTACTTTGCTCTTGGTAGAGGACCAATTCTCTCCCCTTAACACCCTAAATCACACTTTCCTTTTCCTTCCCCACTAACAACACCTTTTGTCTTTTGCACTGGGCCTCTGTATCTTCTAGAAGTACCTTATAAAAAATGTTTCCAACACTTTTTAGTCTTGCAGAGACACACTGGACTCAAATTGTTAACTCATTTGATGTTTCATACCTTGGGCAAGTTAAAGCTTGGCATTAGCCAAGAAATCTTAAGTAATGATGACAGGAAATCTCTGAGCACTTAAGGGGCTCACAAGGTTGAGGCTCTGAACAAAGCTTCAATAGCTCTGCCAGAAGCCATAGTTCAAGCTACAGCCAAGTCCAATCATCTAGAGGGGGGTGTCTTTAGTGTTTAATGGCATTCCACTTAATCACTGCAATTGGGGTCTGGGAATGCTTAGAGCTCCTCAAGGACTCATGAGAAAGTCAATGCTGTGAGAGAAAATTCTTCAACAGTGTCGTCAGAAGTTCCTTCCTTGCAGCTTGGGAATTTATGTTGCATTCCTTCGAATGCTCCAGCTGTAGCTCAAGTTCTGTTCTCAAATGTAACAGCAGAAGTTGTCTTGATACACAGTGGACAGTGTCCCTGTCTCTGAGCCACAAGGTTCTACGTTGATGTCCCACTCCACGATCATTGAGACCATTAATAACAAAGACATTGGTACGTCCATCAGGGCTTCAATGACTTCAGGCATCATCTTAATGGCTGCAGTAGCAGGCTTTGTGGGCAAAATACTCCTTGATCTTACTGTATTTGAATGTTTCTATTACTTAATAACTAACACAGGATATCAGACTTGCAACATTAGCCTGTACTAAAGAGGAATTATGTTGGAGTAGTAAAGTCCAATTAAAGAACAAAGCACAGTACAGCACAGGTACAGGCCCTTCAGCCCACCAAGCCTATGCCCACACATGACCCCTTTCTAAACTAAAAACCTTTTGCCTTTTTACACTGTCTGTATCACTCTATTTCCTACCTATTCATGTGTCTGTTAAGATGCTTCTTCAATATTGCTATTGTATCTGCATCTACTACCTCCTCTAGCAGTGCATTCCAGGCACTTACCACCCTCTGTATAAAAAAAAACTTGCCTCTCATCTCCTTTAAATTTATCCCCATTTATCCTAAACCCACATCCCCTAATATCTGACATTTCTACCCTGGGAAAAAGGGCTCTGACTATCCATTCTATCTACACCTCTCATTTTGTAAAACTTTATCAGGCCGTCCCTCATACTTCGACATTCAAGTGAAAACAAACAAAGTTTGTCCAATATCTCGCACATAGCTAATATCCTCCAAGCCAGGCAACATCCTGGTAAATTTTTGCCGTACCCTCTCCAAAGCCTCTATGTACATCCTCTGATAGTGTGGCAACTAGAATTGTATGCAATAATACAAATGTGGCCTTACTAAAGTTCTATACAGCTGCAACATGACTCCCCAATTTTTATACTCAATGCCCTGAGTGAAGGAGGCAAGCATTCCATGTGCCTTTTTGGCCACCTTTTCCACTAGCATTACCACCTTCAGGGAACTGTGGACCTATATGCCTCTCTATGTTAATGTTTTTAAGGGTTCTGCCATTTACTGTATACTAGTCTGAATAAAACTCCAATTACCCTTGCTCTACTTAAGTATCCAGCCTATCCATATGCTGCTGTATTCTCTAACAATCCTCCTCACTATCTGCACTCCCCCAATCTGTTACAAACCTTGCTAAAGTCCATGTACACAAAATCCACTGCCCTGCTGTTAATCATCATGGTCACTTATTGAAAAAAATTCAATTGAGTTTGAGAGACACAACTTCCCCTGCACGAAGCCATGCTGCCTATCTAATTCCCAGGCAAAATTTAAAACCTGAAGTCCACATTGTTAGACCTATTAGTCATCAACAAGGACACGACTAAAATGATCCAAATGTAACTGATGAAATCACAAGAAGCTGTTGATACAGACAGACATCAAGTGGTTTAATCTCCGGATGTCTTTTGCATAATCTAGAAGCATTTTTATCCATTTCAAAAGAAATATATTAACAATGTCTGATTGGACAGTTTTGATTATTATTTAGGAGTAAGATTACACCAGTCAGCACTTTGAGCCCATCAATAAGAACTTGGCTGATCTGGTTGCAGTTTCAACACCATTCTCCAGTCCACTCCCTCAGGATGTGTCAACTGAATGGTCAGATTTTGACTGGGCATTGTCAGACCAGTACTTATGGGGGTTTGTTAGCTCAGTTGGCTGAGCTCACAATGTAGATTGATGTCAACAGCAGGAGTTAAATTCCCACACTGCCTGAGGTTACCATGAAGCACTCTCCTTCTCAACCTCTCACCTCGCCTGAGGTGTGGTGACCTTCAGGTTAAGTCACCAGTCATTGCACTCTCATTAGAGAGAAGCCCTATGGTCTGGTATTTTTAATTGTTATCAACACATCAGACAAACATAAATCGGAATAAAACCACCACTCCAAACATGCCCAAACTGAACAGATCGAATGGCAAGTGGACAATTGCAATATGTTCCTTCCACATATTTACCAAAGGGAACAGGCCCAGTGAATGATAGCGTCGTGGTGCGCTGTTTGGCATGGTTTTGTTACGCAGGTTCTTGATTTCCTCCTGTGCTTCATGCAGCATCTCCATACACTCCGCATATTTGTCCTCCAGCTCTCGCAACTGCGGACAGAAATACACACATGCTAAAATTACACCACTATCATTAAAGCTCGAAGTGCACAATGACGCAGCATCAGTAATTAAAAAGCCATTCTCCAAACATTTATTTTGAGTAAATTTCACTTTCCCTTGCACATATGGATCTCCAGCCAACAGGGTTACAATAGCGAGGAAATGTCAATTTTGCAACACAGAACTAAAAATATTTGCAGCCTATCATTTTGAACGAATGTCATTCCCCTCCAAATAGTTATTTTACTTTATTCCAACATGCACCAATAGCAGTTGAGAGAGGAAGTTATCTGCATCCTGGCTGCTAGCAATATACTTTTTTTTAAAGAAAAAAGTCCTGTTGGTTGGGAGTTGCATTTGCACAGAAGCCCTTTTGAGAAAGTGCCTGGTCTGAGTTATGACAGTGAATACAGAAGCACAGCTGAACTCAGTTACACTGGAGACAATCCACAGCCCATGACTCCAACAATACATTACAGATGTGTAAATGCGGAATAAAGAGGAGAAACTGCTGGCAATAGTCAACCTATGGTCAGAGAAGCAAATAAAATATTTCGGGTCAATGACCTTTTGTCAGAATGAAAGATCATGGATCTGAAACTTTTTTGTTCAACTAGGCTGCTTGAATTGTTTTTCTATTTTTGTTCTCATTAGAGAATTGATACAGCACAGGAGGCCATTCAGCCCCATCGTGTGTGTTCTGACCTTTTTTTATTCAATTTGTGCCACTCTCCTGGTTTCTCCCTCTTCACAATACCCTGTTGAGTCAATTGAGTTTAATTCCACCACACACACAGATAGTGTTTCTCAAAACCTTAACCACTCGCTATGTGAAAAATTATTTTCTGGTTTTGCTTTTCAATCTGTGCCCTCTCATTCTTGATCGTTTCACAAGTGGGAACAGTTGCTCATTGAAGGAACAAATTACTGCAGATGGTGGAGTCTGAACTGCAAACAACGAATGCTAGAGATCACAATAGGTCAGACAGCATCCATGGAGAGAGTGAGCGCAAGCTTATGTTTTGAGTCTAGGTGACTCTTCATCAGAGCTGAAATGAAGAGAAGTGTGGAGGGGGCAGCATTTATGCTACAGCATGGTGAGGTGGGGGGTGGTGTTGTGGGGGTAGTGGGTGTCGAGAAAAGATGTTGATAGTTCAGATAAAGTGATCTGAATGTGAGAATGGCAGAGCAACGATGTGCGTCTCCTGCCAGACTTAGAAGGACAGACAGTCCCACTGGGATAGAGGGAGGGGTGAGAGGACATGATAACATGTAAAGCTTCACAATTTGAAGGTGTTGAACTCAATATTAAGTCCAGAAGCCTGTAAAGTGTCTTGTCTGACGATGAGAGGTTGTTCCTCCAGTTTGCACTGTGATTCATTGAAACACTGCAGCATGCTGAAGACAGACAAGTGGGCATATGACCAGGACACTGTTAAAATGACCAGCTACAGGAAGATTGGGGTCATGCTTGTGCACTGACTGGAGGTATTCCGAAAAGCGGTCATCCAGTCTGCGTTTAGTTTCTCCAATGTAGAGTAGGCCACATTGAGTGCAGCGAATACAATACACAAGATTGGAGGAGGTACAGGTGAAATGCTGCTTCACCTGGATAGACTGTTTAGGCCCTTGGGTGGTGAGCAGGGTGGAGGAGAAGGGGGCAGGTATTGCACCTTCTGCAGTTACATGCCAACTTGTTGCAGGGAAGGTGGGTGGTATTGGTGGTCGTAGAATGAAGTAGGGTGCCCCAGAGGAAACGATCCCTGTGAAATGCACACGGGGGAAGTGATGGAAAGATGAGCTTGGTGGTGGTGTTCTACTGGGGGTTGTCTGTAATGGCAGAGAATGATCCTTTGAATGTGGAGGCTGGTGGGATGAAAAGTGAGGCCAAGGGAGTCCCGATCATGCAGTTGAGAGTGATGGGAAGGGGCAAGGGCAGAAGCACAGGTGATAGTCAGCTGCCGTTGACAGCCCTGTTAACCACAGTGGGTGGGAAACCATGGTCATCGAAGCAGCAAGCCACACCAGCAACGTGGTTTTGGAAGGTGGCATCATCTGAACAGATGCGACATAGGCAAAGAAACTGGGAGTATGGGATGGAGTCCTTGCAGGACTTGGGGTGTGATAAGCTGTGGTGAAAGGAGCTATGGGAGTCAATGACTTTGTCGTGGATGGCAGTGGACACTTTATTCCCCAAAATGGAGACAGAGAGGTCAAGGAAAGGAAAGGAAGTGTTGGAAATGGATGATACGAAAGCACGTGGAGACACACCATTGTTCTGCCATTCTCGCATTCCAATCACTTTATCTGAACTATTACCGTCTTTTCTCCACCAGTACCCTACACCCACTACCCCACAATACCCCCTCCCAAACTGTAGCATAAATGCTACCCCGCCTCACACTTCACTTCAGCTCTGATGAAGAGTCATCTAGCCTTGAAACATTAGCTTGCTCACTCTCCGTGGATGCTGTCTGACCCGCTGTGATCTCTAGCATTTGTTGTTAACAGTTTCTCCCTGTCTGCTCTCAGAATCCCTACTTTGTCCAGACCCCTCAATTCTGAATATCTCTATCAAATCTCCTCCCAGCCTGCTTTCACTCATGTAAACCTTCTCTAACCTATCTTCATAACTGAAGTTCCTCATCCCTGCACGAAACAAACAAACAATCTCGTGCATTTTTTTATGCTTTCTCGCCAATGTTTTCACAGCCATCCTAAAGTGCTCAAAACCGCTTGCAACACAACTGACAAGACTGGACTAGTGTCTTGTACAAGTTCAACAGCTCGCCGCACTCTACAGTCCTATTAATAAAACCTAGGACACCCCATGTTTTATTAAATCACTTTCTCAACACATCCTGCCATCTTCAATAGCCTCTGAGCATATTCTGTGTAGCATTCTTCAAGATACAAGACATTCAATGAGGACATTGGATGATTATCTGGATAAAAAAAAAGTTAGTTATTGTTGCAAGGGTATGGGTAGGAAGCAGGACATTGGCACGAGGTAAAGACTAAATTGATATCCTTAAAAAAAAAACTTACCTCAGCTGTGAGCTGCCGTTGGGCATCTTTAGCCGCACCCAGATGTTGAGTAAGTTCCTCATTTTCTACCGCATACTGCAAAGACAAACCATTCATTAATAATCACTGATCATAGATACAGCTTGTGGTAGATTACTACACAGCCCATTTCAGAGCACAAATGCTTCTTTCTGAAATTCTATACATTATTCATTGAGTTTTTATGGCAAGCAGGCTCAAGATCTATGGAAAATAATTAGAGATGGGCCTGCTGTACGTCTATTCTGACTGGGTCACAAGAAAGCTTAATTTCTCATACAAAGTGAACATCTCGTAAGGATTCATTTCCTTTGCCGTTCTCATCTCTGAACAGGAACACTTCTTCCTAATTTTGGCCCTATGAGAAACAGATTCAAAAACTCCAGTTATAGCTGACATTTGCCAGTGGCTCACATTTCTCATACTACTCCACCTGCCCCACATTCAGTCCTGTTCAAAGTCAGAATTGATGGTTCTTGGACAAGGGTGGATTGCTTTCTTGGAGGGAAGAGGTAGAGACACAGGAATACTACAAAGATTGCTCTAGATGTTTCGAATTTGAAGTATAGTCTGATTAGCTCATTCAAACATTATTTCCCACTTCCATCACCCCTGTGAAGTAGTAAAAGTATAGTTACAGGTTATGATTTCACTTCCAACTAGAAACTTGGTCAGAATTCAAATTTCTTTTTAAATACCAGAAGACAATTTGGTTTCCTTAATTTTGGGCTGAATTCAAGTCTGATGTTACACCTAAAAGACAGCGTTGCAATCTACTATCTCAAGTTTTGTCATAATATGACTATCTAATACCATGGGTGTTCATGGCTATCCCGATATAAGGTTTAAAAACATTTATCTATTTGCACCCCTTCCTTCGAACTACATGAATTATGAGATCACTGCTTAAACAGGTTACAATGAACCATTAGTTGAATTTGCAAGATAGTAAGAAATAGAAGCAGGATTAGGCTATTTGGCCCCTCGAGCCCACTTTGCTATTCAATAAAATCTTGGCTGATCGGATTGTGACTTCAATTCCAATCTCCTGCCAACCCCACATAACCCTTGACTCCTTTGTCAAACTTCTCAAAAGCAAGCTTGAAAATTGTGCATGTTTAAAATTTTAAAAACAATAAACAAAAATGACATTCAGTAATATGTTCACAGCATGTGACCAAATGCCTTTGGTCTGTCTTCCTGAGCAGGGAATAAGGATGTAGACACCACGTAATTTTTTCAGTCAATAAAATTACTAAAACCAAGTCTGTTATTTCTATGATCTCTAGACATGTTGCAGGAAAGATCTTAAAAGCAATTATTGTATTTTGACTACACACACTCCTTCCTTTCAAAGACAGCATCAGTTCTTTGGGGCAAGGAAATATTGCTATCCATACTCTGAACAGGCAAGCAATCAGAATTATTTTTGTATATTCAGTCATGGGATTAGAGCATACTGGTTAAGCCAGTATTTATTGCCCATCGCCAATTGCAACTAAGAGTCAACCACATTGCTGTGGGTGTGGAGCCATTAATCAGTGCCATGTTAAAAGTCAATTGACTGGCAAAAACCTGGAGTTAAAAATTCCCTCATTTTTTCCTCAAGCATCTGGACTATAGACTGTCTCTGCTCTGGGATGATTGTTCACAACTCTTAAATGAAGACCCTTGGAGCAATATTACAGCAGTTTGACATGGAGAAGTTCCACATCATAAATCAAGTCTCAACTCATTAACGAAAGTGTCAGGGTGGGGGCAGGGAAACGAATGTATCAGCTTACAGCTTTAGACTTTTTCTGCAAGTCGACTATTTGTGACAGCAGATGAGTAATTTCCTCTTGCTGGCGCGCTGAGTCTTCAGTCTTCTTTGCCAGTTCCTCTGCGAGATTGACAAGTTGGAGATTTGCGTCCCCTGGACAGTTAGGTAGAAGAAGCAGAGTCAACCTTACACCCAGAACATCAAACATCTTTAAGTGAAAGACTAATACAAATGGAGACTATTCTACTAAGTATGCCAGCCTGCCCTCTTCAGCTGTTGGCCCAGAGAGGCAGGAGCCTCAACAGTGAGCAATAACATGGGAGAAATCTCTCCAGGGGAACTGTTGGGACATGGGAGCTTGTCGTCCTTGCCAGTGACCATCTTTCTGTTGCAGAACACATTCTTCCCCCATTGTTTCAACAGTGCCATTGGAAGGCATCTCCAGTTAGCTGACAGTCTGTTCTGGAGAGATGTTAGAAAGCACTTCTACACAAGAAGTGTGATAGAGGTTTGGAACTCTCTTCCACAAATGGCAGACGATGCAGGATCAGTTGTTAATTTTAAATCTGAGATAGATAAATTTTGTTGAGCAGAGGTATTGAGGGATATGGGCCAAAGGCAGGTATATGGAGTTAGGCCACAGATCAGTCATGATCTCATTAAATGGTGGAGCAGGCTCAAGGGCTCAATGGCCAACTCCTGTTCCTATTCAAATTGCAAGGGTCAGTGAGAGGTTAGCAGGTTCATCCACTATCAGTAAGGTGCTCACAGAATTATCAAATGACCTCTAATTATGCCTTTGGTTGCCCACCATCATCCTAATAATTATGATCTAATAGCCAATCACTCATTAGGAATTGATTAATTCAATGGTTTAATTCATTTAACACAGTAAAACAAAAAAGTCACGAAGCACGTGTTACAGCAATCAACTGATTTGCGTGTGTGCAGCTTGCAGACCCACACAGCAGACTAACTAGTAGAGTCAGAACCAGAAAGGACAATATTTTTCTTTTCTAGACTGCATATTGAAATGAAAGCAGGACTGCTGTTTTGCCGAAATACTAGGAAAGATTTTCAGCTGTGCAAAACAAGGCTACTTTTCTGAACAATTCCTTGACACAGAATAGCAATAAGAGTCTTTGAGTTAAAGAATGACTACATGACGACAGCCCTCTGATGGGATGAGCCACAGTTCGTTACAAAGCTCTAAGTGCAGGACAGCCAGAGACAGTGATAAAAGGTGCGTGATGTGTTACATTTAATATAATTTACATTGGATTTGTGAATTTTGAACTAGTGGCATATGGATTGTGTGTATCCATCAAGGTTGCAATAATTAATTTGAAAGTATTTCTATGGACGTGGTGATTTATTTTAAAACAGTATAATAGAGACTTTCTGGATACTAATGAGCTTTGTTTAGATTGAAAGAATTTACAATTGAACAAAAGAAACAGTTAAGTTCATTAAGCTTTTAGCTGGAAGAATCTGTAAATGTACTTCTGGGCCAAAGGGAAACCTCCATCAAGTTTGGGTTAAAAAAAACGCTTGAATTTCAGTTTGGGTAGCTTTGCAGAAATCGTGGGCGAAGCTGGATAAGTAAAACAGTTGCTGCTGAGAACCAGTTTAGGAACGTTAAGCAATAGGTCATCTCAGTGTAACTTATTTAGTTTATAAATCCAAAACACAAAGCATTTGGTTATAAACCTGAGGGGGTAATTTGAAGCTGAGAAAGTCTAATCTCAGTTGTAAGAAATCTCCAGAAAGAGGCTATCAGATTCTCACGGTGGGTAAGTGAAAGCACTGTTAAATTAAGCCTTACAGATGTGGAAAGGAAGTGAATTCTCTCTGGTGGGAGTACTGCAAAGGAGTGCTTTTGGGATTAATCGGATTGTATTTTACCATGTGTTTCAAAATCTATATATTTAATGTTATATGTAAATAATTTGCTTTATTATTTTATCTTCATTTCCATTGCATAATAAACTTCTCTTATTGTTAAATCCAAATCTGCAAACGTGCACGTTTGCATTTCAGTGAAAGACTATCTCCTTAAATCAAAAACATGATCTACCAAGCCAGATTTCAATATGGGATCAAACTTGTCCAATAATGACATCAGCTGGGATCATAACAACATCCAGGGCCTCTGTAATGAACACCTCCCTCTTCTACCCTCTCTCCATATTGGTGAAGAGACAGTGAAGAACAATCACTTTACAGGCAACAGCATGTCACTAGTTCCAAAAATTAAAACAAAATGACAGAGACAAATTAACACATGACTAAAATTTGGACTTGTGATCTTTGAAATTTTGTTCACTCTGCCTGTTTTCTTTCTCCACCCATACAACGTATTGAACTGTTTGTCTTTGTCTATCTTAATTGTCAGAGAAAGTGGGGGGGTGGTTTTTTTTAAAAAAGGGGGATATAGTTTAAGTTGCATAGAAATAAATTAGGAATCTATTCTTTTCTCTGCCATTCGTTAAAGTCAAATGTGTTACAATAAAGAGTTATCTTTTGTTAATGACTAAACTTGGTGTGAATTACTTTTGCACCTGAAGACCAATCAGGCAAATTGGTCATCTTGGTAAACTCATCGAGATCTTAGATATTTTGCAACAGTTTGTGGATCAAGCAGCAAGATTATCAGTGCATTTTCCCAGTTATGACTTAATATTGTACACACAGCACAGGGTTCCAAAAGGTGAGCTCTCTTCAAGACAAGGTATGTGTACAGCATCCATCTGTTTCAGTCAAGCAGTCCATCAACTTCCAATATTGCCATCTGTAAAATGCCCAAAAGGGGAAAGACCACATGAGGAAGCCAATCAGGATTGGCTCCCCACAATTTTTGCTGTATCCCCCTTCCACCTTCCACCTTCTATCCAACCCTCCAAGGGCCAGTAAAAGTCAGCTCCATATTTCAGTATAAGACATTCATTTGGCAAGAGAAAGGGTGACTGGTGAAGACCAGAGATGGAAGGGAATTACTATGTTTATTAAACCATTGTGTTAACTTTAAATTTGTACATGATAAAAGGCAAACTGCTCAAGGCAAACGATAGGCTAGTTTGGAAAGTTTTAGGTCTTGACATTAATGTTTTTTTTTCCTATTTTATTTCAAACTTTGAAGATGATTGTAAATTGCAACAGTGGAAGACAAAAAGTGAACTGTGTATTATGGTTCGTAGAACTGAAAGATGTATGATATTAACTATTCAAACAAAAACAACTTTTGCTTAATTATTTCACTTACAGCTTGTTTCTATTACCAGGGAAAACCTTGCAACAAATGAGCCTAAATCCAAATTCCTCTAAGCTCAATGACCTACTACTGGTCTAGGCACTGCACGGCCTCAATTTTAGAAACCATCTCATTTTTAAATCCCTTTGTGGTTTTGCCTTACCTTTTCACCATAGCTTCCTCCAACACAAACCTTCTGAAATCTTGGCACATCCCTGTTCTCCTCACTCCACAGCTGGCAGCTCTACCATCAGATGTCATGACCCTATGCCTCCCGAAACCGGTCAAGGCATACTTTAAGCCTCCCAATGAAACCTACCTGTTTGACCTAGATTTTGGAAACTACCTAGTATCTCCCACGTAAAGTGGAATCATTCTTTGCCTGATGATTAATGACTTCAGTAACTATGGTGGAATGTTTTATGACTTTAGAGGTGTGTTAAAAACACAAGCTGTTGTTGAAAAGCTTGCATTCTTCATATATTGCAGAACCTCCATAGCGATTAACTCGACATCAAAAGATTTGAAGTTGAATAATACATTGCTTTTGATTTTAAGCTTGACCTTTTGATTTCAAAATCATCTGGATGCAAGTAACCATAAAAATCTACTGCATTTAAAAGTATTGTAGTTGAGTAATGCACAGTGCAGAGGAATGACTCATTTTGCAGGACTCTCCTGGTACTTGAAACATACTTAGCTCCTTCACACAGTCATTGACAAGCTGCTGCTCCTTCTCTTCATATGAAATGGTCTCGGTCTGCAGATGACAAGTCTGAATGTCAAGATAAAAATGTATTGCATTACAATACAGGTAACAGTTCCACAAAAAAGTTACAGTAACTAATAATTAATTTTTAAAAATTAATGTGTTTTGGGATGCATCATAGAAGATTAAATATCCAACCTTGGCTCTACATTATGTGACAGTGGAGAAATACTATAAATACAATTAGCAATACATCTCTTCTGACCAATAGAAGGTTACTAAATAGATTACTGCACAGGTTCCTAAACATTAATCTGCGTATGTCCACAACTAGCAACAAAAGTCCCTTTTAGACTGTGGAGTAAAGGGTTAACTACCAGTTTTATTCTAATAATAATTCCTTACACATGTGCTTAGCAGTCTGTCATGATAAAACCAATTCACATTGAATGGTACCAGAAAGCAAAGTGTTCCAGAGATGTTGCCCCTCACTCTCTCCCTTATATAGTCTATACACTCAATAAAAGGTATTGAAGTTCACAGACAAGGGTATAGAATACGGTCTATCAACAAGCCAGTCATGATCTTATCGAATTGACAACCACAGATGCATGATATTACCTACTGCTATGGACTCTGTGGCCAAGATAAAAAGCGTGGATTCTGCAAATACAAGTTCCCTCGGATGACAGAGAACTGGTTCTATTTACATGTACAGGCATTGATACTTCAGCTGGGATGGATCAGTTTTTATTGCAGATATTCTAGCATTGGTATTGTGTTCCACTTTGATATGCTATAGGAACTTGGCATCAAAACTGTTGAAACGTTATGTATCAATTTATGAACACTTCACACGCCAAGCTACTGTTCTACAATTCAATGTACCTATACCGATGCAGGAAGTACCCAATCTGACTGGCCAAGCAGAAGAATAGATAGATTTAGTGTGGGAGCTAACAATTAATTTCTCCACGGGGGATTAGAATCATTAGGTGGTTGTTATTGATTGGCACAGGCACGATGGGCTGAAGGGCCTTTAGCTGTGCCACAGACGTCTGATGATTCTACAATTCTAAGCCGGGGAGAATGAATGGAATTAGACTGAACCACAAGGAACTTTTGTTGACTAGTAAAATAAAGCTATTTTGGATTTCTCATGATTCCAAACAGGGGCGAATAGAGGCACACTAGAGCATTAAGCATGGCCACTGCAATTCTGACTGTAACTATCATCAACTATAATCCCAGCAGCATGAGAGATTAATAAGAAAGAAAAATACAAATGCAGACATCACTCAATAATATTTTCATTTGGCTTTGATTTGAATAGGAGTAGAAAACTGATATTTTTTTTACCTCTGTTCTTAAAACAACATTTTCTTCTTCTAGATCCTTCAGCTTCTTTTGAAGAGAATCCAAATGAAAATAATTCTGTACAGATGAGGTAGACTCAATCCGTCTCAACCTGAGGGCATATCAAACCAAAATCCTCAAATCATTTTGTGTTCATTTGTTCATAACAAAGGTTTTAGTCAGTTACAAAATCAGCCCCAGAAGGAATAAACCACAATTATGCTTCTGTTGTTAATACTTAGAAAAATGCAACTTGTGACAATTTAAAATTTTATGGAAATATCTTTACAAAATACCATTCGATCATATGGAACTTGAGGACTGCTAGAAAAAAAAAGACTTTTTTTTTAACCTTCCAATCAGTCTTGCAAATTGTCCTGAGTGCAAGCCAAAGAGCTTCAACAAATTGTGCTTTTTTACCCCCAAATAATGCTAAGTCCCATAATTTTCCATAAAACCGAAACCACATGTAATGAGTTTTACTGACATCCAACTACTTTTTTTTCCAAAATATATTTCACACGATGTGGCATCACTGGCAACAAGACCATAAGATGTAGGAGCTGAATTATGCCATTTGGCCAATCCCTCCAACACCCAATGAGATTATGTTGATCTGTTAATCTTCAAATCCACTTTCCTGCCTTTCCCTTTAATCCTTAACCTAGTGAAAATCGGTCCAGTTCAGCCTTGAATAAACATAACGACACAGCCTTGGCAGTCCTCTTGCAGCAAAGATTTTCTATCCTTTGACAGAAGAAATTCCTTATCACTGTCTTAAACGGACAACCTCTTATCCTGAGATTATGCCCTCCGGTTTTAGACTGTTCCGCAAGGAGAATTACTTTTCCACACCTACCCTATCAAACCACCACAGAATCTCTCATTCTTCTAAATTCTAATGCGTATAGGGCCAACCTACTCAACGTTTCCTCATAGTTATTACCTGCCTAGTGAACCTTCTCTGACTGCCTCCAATGCTGGTACACCTTTTCATAGAGACAGTTCACAGTATTCCAACTGTGGGTTGGCTAGCACAATGTGTAGCAAAACCTCTCTACTTTCATACTCCATCCTTTTGAAATGAAAGCCATCACTCCATTTACTATCCCTAACAGCTGTGCAGAAGGTAGTGGTAAACTGCCTTCACGCGCATTGTTGTAAAATAGGGCAAAATATCTTAGTGAAAACAATTTCTGTGTGTCAGTTTGGCACAAGGAATGGCAGAATTTTATTGGGGAATTTCCCAGCCTTTGATCACACTTAACTCAACAAATTGAGGTCATTGTCACAAAACCACATATTACAGACCAACAATTCTACACCACTACCCTGCAGGCAACCTCTGAAGAGAGCAAAAGAATTCACATTTCAAGTCTAGTCTAATTCTTCTGAGAAACTGGAAGGAAAAATAATACAACAGCCACCAATGCAGCTCAAAAATGCCTTCACTTGCTATTCTTCTCATGAGCAGCTTGGCATTTCCAGCATCTTACATATTTATTATTTGGAATAGTTGGAGTGTCACTGTCAGTACTATCAGAGTTATAACTTTAATTGCTTGTTGCTCTTGTTTAATCCATTCATGGGATGAATATGTCACTGGCTGGGTCAACATTTATTTCCCATCTTTAATTACCCTCAAGTGGTGGTGAGCTGTCTTCTTGATCCATTGCAGTCCATTTTATATTAATGTTAAAGTGACTATTTCCTGGCATCAAAAGAAAAATGTCTAATGTCTGAATTAAAGAATTTTTTTTTTTTTTTTAAATTTCAGGCACAAGTACCCATGATATTAAAAACAAAATTCACCAGTGCTCCTTGCAGATATTTATTGATAATTTCTATTGTTCAGGCATGCTGGTTCAGGGACATTTCTGAATGGCATTATTTGACAGGACTGAGTAGAACACTTACGGTGTGGAGGAAGTGGAGTCACTCTCACTTTCTTCTGCCGCATTAGTGTAGAATTGTAGTAACTCATCTTTCATAGCCAGCTCATGACGGAGTTGAGACACCTGGTCAGTAGCAGAAATGGAGCGGGGTATGAGAGGAGGAAAACAAAAAGTGAACTGTTGAGAACAGAAAGAACACGGAGCAAAGGAAAAAAAGATACCATAACCAGCACATCACAAAAACTAAATGCTGCAGATTTTGGAAATGTGAACTGAAAAGAAAAATATTAGAGAAACTCAGCAGATCTGGCAACCTCTATGAAGAGAGCAAAATAATTTATATCTCAAGTCCAGTCTAATTCTTCTGAGAAACTGGAAGGAAAACTAATACAACAGCCATCAGTGCAGCTCCAAACTGCCTTCACTTGCTATTCTTCTCACCAGCAGCTTGGCATTTCCAGCATTTTATGTATTTATAATTTGGAATAGTTGGGATAATCACTTGGAATGCCAAATGGCAGCTGGTACATGTACAGATGAAGGGTAGAGACATTAGCTGGCCTTCAGGAATTTTCTACACATGTATTGCTTACATCACATGTCTTGTTTACTGTGTCACCACAGCACATAGGCAGATTGCTCCACCTTATCTCAGATTCTAGTTTTATTATAAATAGCACTACTTTTCTATTTCTCCAGCTTCTATAAGAATGAATCTTACATATTGCATCATTAAACAGTACTTCGGTGCCATCTCAGGTGCACATTATATAGAGAATGCAACGATGCTGCAGCTTGTACGATAAATAGCATGACTTAGCCGATGTCCCATTTTGTTATTGCTACCCAAGATGCTGTCCCAGTTAGTTAATCAGCCATCAGTTGCTGCTCCATCCTTTGATCTAGACATTGCGCTGCAAAGCTGTGTTCCTGCTTGTTCGCACTTGTTGCTCCATCTGGTTATGGTGTATATGAGAAATGTAGCTAGTAAGCAAGAGGGTTAATCAGGGGCAAGTGGGAAATGCGGTTGAGGTAATAATCAGGTCAGCCATGATCTTATTAGACAGTGAAGCTGGTCTAAGGGGGCAAAAGGCCCACTCTTACTCCCAACTCATACAAGACCGACTTTGAGATCACTAACTTTGGAGAGCACCTCTAAATCAAGGATTATGAAGTGTGATAACTAAAAAGAAAGGAAAGCCTTTACTTTGTGCTGTTGGTGGTTTCAGGATGGACCATGGAGGAAGCAGCTTTATTCCATTTGAATTCGAGAAAGCTTAGTGTGAAACCAACTCTGAACGCTCTTCAACCTTTGCCCCAGCTTGATATAAAATGTGGTTGTGTGCGCGCGCATATGTTTGTATACACAGCCCTGGAGATCGTGAAAAAGAACGTGGACAACCCAACTTAATATCTAAACTTAAAATTCTTCCTAAAGATGTGAATGGGGGGGGGATGATTTTACAGTCTTACAGGAAATATATCACCATTATTAACACTGATATAATAACTGTGGTAACTATACAATAAAACTTAAATTCAATTGCACCAAGATCTGGCACCCGTCATCTTAGATTCCAAGAAAGCTTATTATCATCGGTAACTTCAACACTTGTGTGAGATCAAATAAAGGGGATCATTAGTAGAAACAGCATGCCAAAGTCTAACACCAACGCCATACAGCTCCTTGGAAACTATACAGAATATCATCACAAACGCACTTTTCAGGTTTCAAGCAAATACAAGATTGTAGGAATTCACCCTTATTCCAAACATTGGAATCTGTTTGATTACATAATAATAGAACAGGAGAAAGACTTGTCTTTCACAATCTTCAGATGCTTTGTAGCCAATATACTACTTTTGGAAGTGTGGTCGCTGTTGTGTGGCAGGACACAGCAAGTTCCTGCAAACAGCAATGTGATAATGACCAGATAACGTTATTATTGTTTTTATTTTTAAAATCACTTGTGGGACATTGGTGTCGCTGGGTGGCCAACATTTATTGCACATCCCTAGCTGTCTTTGAACTGAGTGGCTCACTAAGCCATTTCAGAGGGCAGTTGAGAGTCAACCACATTGCTATGGATCTGGAGTCACATGTAGGCCAGACCAGGTGAGGGTCACTAAAGGACATTAGTGAGCCAGATGGACCTTTCCACCAATCAGCAATAGTTTTCATGATTCTTAATTCCAGATGTGTTTTTTTAATTGAATTCAATTTCCACCATCTGACATGGCAGGATTCAAACCAAGGTGTCCAGAACATTAGCTGAGTTTCTGGATTTATAGGCTAATGATACCACCACTAGGCCATCACCTCTACTAAACATTGTCATGCTGAATCTAAGATTAGTGATAGTCCACTAATTTCAATGCTCTTTTCTAAAGAGTGACCATGGGATTTATGTCCAATTGAGGGGGTAGACTGGACCTCAGGTTAATATCTCATTCAAGAGATGGCACTTCCAAAAAGTGCAGTATTCTCTCAGTACTACACTAGAAGATCAACTGCAACTGAAGGTTTAAGGTAAGGGGCAGAAGGTCGAGAGGAGAGGAGAAATCTTTTCACCCAGAGGTTGGTGGGAATCTGAATCTCACTGCTTGTAGGGGTGATGGAGGCATAAACCCTCAAACATTTAATTAGTATTTAGATGTACACTTGCAATACCAAGGCATACAAGGCAATGAACCAAGTGCTGAAAGTGGGTATAGTATAGTTAGGTGACTGTTTTTGCCAGGCATGGGCATGATGAGCCCAATGGGCTTTAGTGGAGCTGTAAGTGTCTATGACAATGACATTGAAAGTTTCCAATTCTTCAATATCACAAACTATGAAGAGGCATCAAGAGAACTGAAAGCACAACAGGTACAACTAAATCTACCAGATAGCAATAACTTTTTTCCCCTAAAAAGCCATGCAACCATAATGCCCAATATGCACTCACCTCCTCCCTGGCATGTTCCACTTGCTCCTCAAGGTGTTCATTCCTTTCAGTTAGTGTCCTGTTCTTCTTTAGCAGAGACTGACCGATCCGTGCAGCTAACTCTAAATCACGCTCTTTCTGTATGTGGCAACACAAAATTTAAGATTATCCAAATCAGTGCAAGACGAAAAATGTTGACAAAATGTGTTTTTTTTTCAGCAAACCTTAAGTTCTGGACTACCGATTGCCTAATGACAAGCATTTGACAGAGTGGTTCATTAATCTCCAAGCTCGACTCACTCACATCAATGTGTATATGTGTTCAAGTTACCACTGAACAAACACCACATTCCAACTCCAATGATAGAATTAACACCTTCCTCATTACCATACTTTTCAAAGCTTGCAATGAAACTCATGAACTCCATGGGTCTGAGCTTCCTCCTCCCAAAGCAATGCAGTGTCAAAAATACTGAGCAACAGATGTTAATGCATATCTAGAGTAACGGTGGTTCAGTGGTTAGCACTGCTGCCTCACAGCACCAGGAACCTGGGTTTAATTTCACCCTCGGGTGATTGTGCAAACTCCACACATTCTCCTGATGTCTACATGGGTTTCCTCCAGGTGCTCCGGTTCCCTCCCACAGTCCAAAGATTTGCAGGTTAGGTGGATTGGCCATGCTAAATTGTTCATATTGTCCGGATTAGACACGGGAAATGCAGGGTTACGGGGAAAAGGGTAGGGGGATGGGTCTGGGTGGGATGCCTTTTGGAGAGCCGGTGTAGACTTGTTGGGCTGAATGGCCTGTTTCCACACTGTGGGGATTCTATGAATAAGCTCCCACTCCCACTCCTGCTGTATCTACAGATCTCCCCTTGTTTCCTTATGATATGTGATCACCTGTCCAGTTGTTTTCTGGTATAATTTACACAGAACTAAAGGCATAGATTCATGGCACCTGTCTGTCTCAAACGAATTGAGCAAGTCAACAAAGACAATAATACACCTCTGAAAATTAGCATACATGAGAGCAGAGGACGTCACCCTCGCTTCAGGCAACTCAACTATTACGTATGGTTAGCTAAGGAATCAGGTTACAATCTATTCTGTTTATCTTCAATATTAATCACACAATTGATTGTAATAGGTTTCTAATTCTAAGTGGATAATGATACATGATGCACATTGTTCTATTAGCAAGTAATTTGTTTTTGTTAAAGTTACTTTCATTATTGCCAACGTTCTCGCTTTCAATTCTGGAGATGTCAAACCCACTGCCGAGTATGGTCCATTCTTTGATCTCCCATTCCTTGCCCCACGTGGTCATTTTCCTTTTTGCTCATTCTATCCCATGAGCTCTGACAGCAAAATCAGGTTTCTCAAGCACTATAACAGGTGTAATCCTGCCATTCCCTGTAGCATTCATAAGCTAACACTGAAAATAAAAGGGGAACTTGGCAGGAAGCAAGACAGCAAATCTTCTACATTCACTCAGGCCTACACATGCTCAACTAATCAAGAAGGGAGTACCCTCACCCTGAACTGGATAAGTCAGGGAATAGAGGAACATTAGGAGATGCTGCAAGGTGTAGACAAGACAGAGATTAGCCAGGATCTCACTGAATGGTGGAGCAGGTTCGAAGGGCAGAATAGCCTATTCTAAAGGGGGTCAGTTAGCTGGATGGTTGATTTGTGATGCAGTTTAATACTAACAGCACAAGTTCAATTCCCACATCGGCCGAGATTACCATAAAGGACTCTCCTTCTCAACCTCTTTCCCTCCCCCGCGGTGTGGTGACCCTCAGGTTAAACCACCAGCAGTCATCTCTTTCCAAACGAGAGGGCAGCACTATGGTCTGGCTAGACTATGGGAATAAATTTGCCATTTGATATAATCAATTGTGGCAGACCTAAGAAAAATGCAACAGGCAAGCAGGTCCAGCCAGAAGTACAAAGTGGATGATCTATTTGGACTGTTCCCAAGGCTCCCATCATTGTGGATACCAGGAGTGAGCCAATTCAGCTCGTGCCACATAACATTAAACTGTTCAGTAAACTGGGCAGAGCAAAAGTACTCAATCCTGTAGTACTGAAAACCTGTGCACCAGAATTAACCACCGTTGACCCAAGTGGATCCGTGCAGCTATATATTGTCATGATGAGGAAATGTCCCCAGTTACATCTTACTATAACAAAAGGACAAACCTTCCCTGGTCAATGCATACCCTTTCCACCTCCTCTGAACTACCTGAAGTGGTATTAGGAGTCATTAAGAGACTAATAATTCAGGCCGAGTCCACCAGATTTACTAAACTGGACCTTGATAGAACCTTGCCCGGATTTACACTTGGCTACAGTTAGATACTGTAAAGACCGAAGCAGTTGCTTCCATCTCTGCTTCAAACTCTATCCTTCTCCCTGGCAACAACCTGAGATGAAGTCAGGCTGTTTGCAACTTTGGTACCACATGTGATCCTGAGATGAGCTTCTAATCTTTCGTCCACACCATCAGCAAAACCGTGTATTCCAACCTTCACAAAACCATGCTGGCTACTCAAACCCTTATTTGTGCCTAGGTTTCTTCCAGATTTGACGACTGTAAAGCACTCCTGGCTGGTCCCCATATTCCCTAAACTTGAAGCCAGTCAAATCTCTATTGACCACATCTTAAACATGTAGCCAGTCTCATTCCCTATCACCTGAAATACAAGGGGGCATAGGTTTAAGGTGAGAGGGAAGAAGTTTAAAAGGAGATGTGCAAGAAAAGATATTTTTTTAAAGACACAGAGGTGCCTGGAACGTATTGCCGGGGAGGTGGTAGAAGCAGACACATTAGCAAAGTTTAAGAGGCATTTAGACAGGCACATGAACAGGCAGGGAGTAGAGCAATATGGGCCACGTGCAGGCAGATGGGATTACTTTAGAATGTCATTATGGTCAGCACAGATGTGGCAGACAGAAGAGCCTGTTACTGTGCTGTACTGTTCTATACTCTAAGTTCTATGTTCCTGTGCCCACTAAGGTACATTGGCTCCCGGTCATATAACATCTTTAGTTTTAAACTCATCTTTGGTTATAATTTTCAGCCCCCATCGGCTCCCCCCATCCTTATTTCCATAACTTCCTCTGGCCCTACACACCTCTGAAATCTCCACATTCCTTTAATTCCAGCCTCTCACAAATTCAGTTCTAATTTCTTCACCACCACAGGCGGTGAGCCGCAAGTTCTGGAATTCCCTCCTTCTACCTCTCCACCTCACTTACCTCCTTTAATGGCAGAATTGCTATGGTGCTGGAGGAAGCCATTCGGTCCATCGAGCCTGGCTCCAGATCAAAGAACCAGTGCAATCTCCTGCCTTTTTCCCTTATCTCTGCACACCATTTCTAATCAAATCATCATCCAATGCCTCTCTCAAATGTCTCAATAAGACCTGCCTCTAACACATTTCCAGGCAATGCATTCTATACTCAAGACACTTTTTTTAAAAAGCTTTTGTTGACTAAATGTTTAGTCCTCTGACATAATATCTCCTTTACATGGTTCAGTGGTGTACTTTGCTTTACAACTCTCTGGGAAACACCTTGGGAGGTTTCATTACTTTACAGGTGCGTTATAACTCTAAGTTGTCATTGGTGCAAAGATAGTCAAGGCTTCCAGAGGCCAAATATGCAGCCTCAGGTCATTGGAGAAGTTCTTTATGGCAGGATTCCTATAAGCAAACTGTTTGAAGGCTTGTTAAGAAAAGAGTCTAATTGAGATTTTCAAACACAAATGCTTTAATGATAAAATGAAAGTGAAATATCAAAAATCTTACTGTGAGAAGTCACATTTGGCATTATTCTAATTCAATGTTGCAATAATTATGACAAAAAATATATTTTCAAAGGAGGATAAACAACGAGCACAGCACATTAACAGGAGGAAACAAGAGTAAACGGTACAATTAACTGAATCTCCTTCTCTGTGAAGTCAAAGGCATCAGATAAATAAGATCCCCAAACGCTGATACTCTTGAGTGTGTTTGCTGGGCACATTCCAGATCCTTGGCACAATAAAAAGGGAAACTCCATTTCAGTAGTTTGCTTTGCCTTCAATTGCCCCACCATTCCAGTCATCTGCTGCCAATTGCCACAATGACTTTGAAAACAACATTGTTTAAGCTACAGGGCAGAATGACCATCCTAGCTTGAGCAATGTTTGTAGCACATGTACCCTTGATGCATCCCCCCACCCCAAAGAGAAAAGTCCATTTGGATTTCTGACTTCAACCGTTTCTCTGGCACAGTATTGTATGAGCACTTTCTTTTCAAAAGAGCGAGCTCATACAATAACAGAAGTCTAATCACCTACTTCACATAACCAAAATAAGGAAGCTTGTTTTCCTACACAGCATATAAACATATCCATTTATAGTCGTGTCGGTGTTGTGTGATTGTCAAATTGCAATGCACTTCACTAATTACATACCAGCTAAATTCCAACATTGGGGTTTGCAAGCCACAATATGAAAAAACCTTTTTTAACCACTATGAAAGTTAACCAATCCTTCACACAAGCATGCCTACACTTCCCTGCCTTCATTCTTCTCTCTTCTTCTACCTCTCACCCTGCAGCTCCCGCTGGAATTCCAACACAAGAATATCTTGTCGAGCTTGTGCTGTACACTGTCCAATCAGCACAAACCTCTCCCCTGAATCTCTAACCAGATTCTATAAAGCACAAAATCCAGCCACTCCCTCCCATTAGCAATGCACCAGGAAACACCTATATATGGCGTGTCGCAGTTCAGCTGCAGTTTCAATTGCCATATCAGTGTTGTAGTCCAGAGTTAAAGATAATGCTGGAAGAGGCTCCAATGTTCTTCACATCACATGGCGCATGTGTTGGTAGTATTTGCAGGTTGACACACAAACTGTTTGGCCGTGTCCTGAAACCACATACCTTGGCCATCAGATCCTGGAGGGTGACTTAAACCCGGTTCTTCTGGGTCAGTGGCATGGACAGTACCCACTGTAATCACAAGACTCTGATTTGATTTATTATTGTCATGTGTGCAGAGGTACAGTAAAAAGTGTGGTCTTGTGTGTTTTACAGGCAGATCATACTATACAAGTGCATCACGGTGACAGAAGAGAGAGTGCAGGATACTGTGTTACAGCTGCTGAAAAGGTGCAGAGAGAGATCAACATTAATGTTAAAGAGGTCCATTCAAAAGTCTGATAACAGTGGGGAAGAAGCTATTGAAACTGTTCATTCGTGCATACTAACTTTAAAATCTTCTGCCTGACAGAAGTGTGTGGAAAAGAATGTAATAGTGGGAGGGGTCTTTGATTGCTTTCCTGGTGCAGCGGGAAATATAGTTCGAGTCAATCGATGGGAGGCTGGTTACCACACGAAAATCACTGCTTTGAACTCGACCAAGTCGTTACTACCGAATCTCAGTTTCTACTATGACATTAAGACACTAATTGCACTCTTTACTGCATACTTGCTTTTATGCAACTCAGGATTACTGCTTCTCTTTTCATTTCATTGTGAATAGTCAAATTTTGAAATTGAATCCTTAAGTTTTTGTGACATTTTCAGTGATGAGGCAGCACCGTAGCTCAGCAGTTAGCACTGCTGCCGCACAGCGCCAGGGACCCAGGTTCGATTCCAGCCTTGGACGACCGTCTGTGTGGAGGTTGCACACACTCCCCGTGTCTGCATGGGTGCTCCGGTTTCCTCCCACATTCCAAAGATGTGCAGGTTAGGTGGATTGGCCATGCTAACTTGCCCGTAGTGTCCAGGGGATGTGCAGGCTAGGTGTTACAGGCATAGGACAGGTGGGTGGGATGCTCGTTGGAGGGTCATTGTGAACCCGAGGGACCGAATAGCCTGCTTCCACGCTGTAGGGCTTTAGGAGGCATAGTAGTAATTAATTTTCAGCTTTGAAGCAGCTCACATTAAAAATGAATGAATCTTGGCGTTTTTGCTTTGATTGAACCTTTTTTCAAAAAAAAAAAAAAAAAAAAGCGCTTACCTCTTCTAGCAGGCGGGTGACAGCATCTATATCATTGTATGTTTTAGTCATCTGGCCCACTCTTTCAGCACATAGAACTGCAAAAGGACAGAGATTTACAACTTTAACCACTGGCACAGAACCGTAAAATTTGGCCAGCATGCAAATGTAACACGTTTAACAGAGTTAATTGTTTCTTGAATTGCAGTTTAAAAGCACGAATTACAGTCTGATGAAACAAGAAAATTAAAACGTTTGCTTGATTATTTCAAAACATGAATTCAAGAACAAAGTGAACCATTGGCTCAAATAAATAAAAAAAGAAGTGAACCACATACTACAGTCATGGAAAATCTTTAGAGAACGATTCTTTGAATCAGACATTTAACACGGTTTAACACTGCCTGGAGGAAATAAAAAGGAAAAAATAGGTTCCAGTCCATTAATCAGTTTATTTGAGTTCACAAATGATGCAGAATTACAGACTCTCTCACAGCTCAAAATCATGAAACCACTTGAGTGAAGCTTGTAAATGATAGTCTGACATGGTCAAAATTGGTGGTGTTCATCAAGTATACAATTGCCACAGTTGCCCAGAAACAGGACACTAATTTAGAACTCCATTTCAATAATACCACATTGCTTCCAAGAGCTGGATATTTCAGAATGCAAGAGAGAAAAGGAAGAAGATGGATGCTGCCAGAAGTCTCTTATAAAAGGTAACATAGGATATCAGATGAAATATGAAAGGCCTTGCTTACATTCTTCTGAAATCCTCACAGTGTACACAAATAAGAAAGAAAATACTGGCAGCAAATAATCTGACAGTAAAATGCTACTGTTTGTGAAAGTCTGATAGAAAGGATAGCCTGTTATCAGGCTCTTCAAAAGAAGCAAAATATTGTAGATCAAAAATAAGACAGCATGAAAAACAATTCAAAATATTTAATTATCCAACAGTGGCTGCTATTATAAACAAACAACAAACTGTTTGACATGATTATTTTGTTTTCCATAATGACTATTAAACTTGTCTGTATTAAATAAAGCTCTGATTCCACATTAAAAAGCATGATGTAGATCATTGTGAAAAATTTGATAACTTAGAAACCATTAAATCGTAAACCTGACAAGCCATTCACAGTGACCTATATACTATCAGGCTTCCAACATGTTAAATTAGGTCACTAAAATATCTATACTAGGAATCCCTTTATCCACATCCGAGGAAGCACACTGCACATGAGCTGGAGAACGCAGAAAATCTTCTGGCTAAAACATCTCCGTTGATAAAGTACCTCCAGTGATCAAACAAGCCTCCCTCAACTCTCACTCCTCACTTCCCTTCCTCAACATCTGTTTCTATTTCTGGGGATAGGCTGGCCACCAACTCCCAGTTACCTGGACTGAGCATTCTCAACCACCTGCTTCCAGAAAGGACTCTATTCCATTCTCTCAGTTTCTGTGTCTCCATTTGGTCCAATTATGTTACCTTCCACAGGAAGGCCTCAGAAATATCCACCTTTCTTCTCAACCAGATGAAGCAGCAATTTACTCGTACTTCACTCAGTCTAGTCGACTGTATTCAATGCTCACAATGCGGTCTCTTCTACACTGAAGTGACGAAACACAGACTGGGTGACCTCCAAGGTTCTGGTAACCTGCCATTTTAACACACCAGTATTCCCTGGCCAACGTCCGTGTCTCAGGCTTGTTGTAGTGCTCCAGCACAAGCTAGAAGAACAGCATTTCATTTTCCACTCGAGACCCTGCAGCCTCTAGGCTCAATATCCAGTTCAATAATTTTAGAGCCTGAACATCTGATTCCACGTCCTTTACTGGGCCCCATACCCCAAGCCCAGTCACGACATGGGCTACTTTCAGCACAGCCAACCCATTTTCACCTACTCATTGTCCCCATTATCAGCTTTTCTTCATCCCTAGCTTACTACCAATCATCCCCTTGTTTGCAGAACTTACTTTCTCTGCCTGTCTGTCACTCTCTCTGGGCTCCATCTCCACCTGTCTGCTCTCATCACCACTGCCAATCACCCACCCTGCCACCTCATCCGCCTGTCAATTCTGAAGGGTCACTGGACGAGAAACATTAACCCTGCTCTCTCTCCGCAGATGTTACCAGAACTGCTGAATTTCTCCAGCAATTTCTGGTCTTTGTAATTGAGAAACACCTTTGCACTTGGTCTGAGATATAGCAAACAAATTGGTGTATCTCCCTTTTAAAGTAATTATTGGATTTTTTTTTGGAAACTTTGAATTGTAGGAAAAAGTCATCTTCACGACAATTCAAAAAGCTCTTAAGGAATCAAAAAGATCATGACCCATTATAAAAGGTGCAGTGTTTATGTGTTGCAATAAAATATATTGAAAATAACGCTTAAAATTTATCCGACATAGCTGTAAATTTAACTGGTTGTACTGCTGCAAATCAAACAATCATGAACAGTATAAAAATTTTAAAGAGCACTTGAGTTGAAATCCATGTGCGATGAGTCCTTAAAAAGCACTCAGTTGCTTAATGTATGTTCTGTGCTAAAAACCTTTAATGCACCGAAAATCTCAACAGACGTGCAGTAAGATTAATTCTCCAAGTGATTTTTATTAGAAATTGAAAAAAAAGCACCACCACTTCCCAACTATTGACCTTCCAGAATGTTAAACATTTGTGAAAAATGGGTTTTAAAATCATAGGAAATTCACAGCGAAATACAATAGCTTTTCAAGCGATCCAGACTGGAATGCTATCAAATAAATATTGCATTGGTACCACTTGAATCGCCAGTGAATGGATTCTTGGCATAGTCAGAGAGACAGAGACAGTGTGTTTCTGTGTATAATGTTCAGAATTAGGTGCAGCTCAAGAGAGAGAAAGGAAAAGCGATGTTTAAAAAAAATCAGGACAAATCATTTCTTTTGATCTTCAGATAAACATCGAGGACTTGACATCGGATAAGCACTCCTCTTTCAGATTCAACAAAGGCTCGAGGCTTGAATAACAGAATTACAGGAAACCCAATCCTCTAGTGTTGCGTTTCATTATGTACAAGGGAAGGGTGATACTTTTTTTCAGGAGGATGGACAATTCCTAAATTACACACTGAACAATTCTTTTATTTCAACCGAATTAATCAAAATGCCCTTACACTGATTTGAGTGCAAGTTGCAAGTGGAAAATGGTTAAGATTTCAAATTTAACGAGATTTAAATTAGTTGGGAAAGTATTTACAATTTCAAACCATAAAATTTTATTTCTTATGCACTAAAAAGCTGCTATTATATGTGAAACTCACAGTGAGTCAACATCAAATTTAAATCTGCTCAATTTTGGCCAGCAGGGTTTTCACTTTCCTGAATCTCAAGAGTTAACAACACTTGATCAACCCCTGAAAAGCAGAAGTAGTTTTTGCAAATACATTCATAGAACAGTGGCAGCACAATAGGCCATTATTCAGCCTGTTTAACCTGTGCTGGCTCTCTGCAAGAGCAATTTAGCTCATCTTCACTTCCGTCACTCTTTTACCATGCTATTTTCCATGAATTTTTTTCTCCTTTGCCAACTTATCCTTCCAAAAGCCATAACTGAATTTGCTAAATTTTCAGATGCCAACACGCTATAGGTCGTTGTCGTGTCCACTACAGTGATCCGAGATCCATACATTCATTGCCACCAATCCTTATTGGTGTTAGTTTAAGTTATAATACCAAGTGGGATAATGATGTCAACAAGAGGCTCAGTATTTGTGACTAGAAGTAGATGTATTACAATGTGACAGCTGTGTTACATTTGATTGACATGACAGGGACACAAGAGTATTATGTTAGGCCTCAAACTATACTGGAGTGTACTCATTACTATGACTAAAACATTCTGGTACTCAACTTAGAGATAATTGAACAGCTTGAACCCATTGGTTAGCAGCTGACAAAAACAGTTCTTTATATCCTTTTGGGTGGAGCTAATTTTGTGATGTCTCCTTTAGAATAACCCTTCCATTCACGGCCAATAAGTGCAATATACAAGTTAGCCTGTATCTATCGCCCTTATTGGCAGTGCATTCCACATCAGAGCAAAACATAAATGTGAACTCAGATGGAGGAATGTTCAGTCAACCAGTGGAAATGGAAAACTAGTGCATCGAAAAGGAAGTTCACAAGGAATGGAGAAGAGTGCTGTCAGTATGGTGTTTTGAGAGTATTCACATGTGTAGAACTTTAGAATAATTACAGCACAGAAACAGACCATTCAGGCCATTGTGTCTGTGACTGCTCAGTAAACCAGCCACCCATTCTAGTCCCACTTTCCAGTCGGAGCATGGGATTCTCATGTACCGCCCCAAACCTTCTACCAATCCTCTCAAATATGTGCCCCCAGTACTTGACCCCTCCATTAGGGGGAAAAACAGGTCTTTCCTGTCCACTCTATCCAAGCCCTTAGTTATTGTTTACACCTGAATTAAGTCATTCGTCAGCCTTCTCTAAGGAAAACAACCCAGGCTTATCCAATTTTGCCTCCAAGCTGCAATTTTCAAATCCTGGCAGTGTTCTGATACATCATCTCTGCACACTCTAGAACAAGTATGTCCTTCCTGTAATGTGGTACCAGCAATCTCCAGCTATGGCCTAACCAGCGTCTTATATAAAACACAGTGTGGAGCTGGAGGAACACAGCGGGCCAGACAGCATCAGAGCAGGAAAGCTGACGTTTCGGGTCGGGACCCTTCTTCAGAAAGAAGGGTCCTGACCCAAAACGTCAGCTTTTCTGCTCCTCTGATGCTGCCTGGCCTGTTGTGTGCCTCCAGCTCCACACTTATCTCAGACTCCAGCATCGGCAGTTCTTACTGTCTCTCAGCATCTTATTTGGGTCCTACATTAGATTCCTGCTTTTGTATTCAATACCTCACCCAATAATGGAAAGCATTCCACATGCCTTTTTTAACCACATTATCATGGACATTTCCTACAAGGTCTCCAACTTCCTCTATTCCTCCTGTTTATTGTTTATTCCTTTGCTTTGATTGCCCTCCAGGAATACCTAATCCCACACTTCTCTACAGAAGAAGGTATGCAGTTCATTGGTAAT